TATGAATTTTCTGGCAGCATTCGATTGCTCAGAATCTCTACTTTCAGAAAAACATATTTTGCCGAGCGATTGTGTATTCTTGAGGAGATGTAACTATTTTCTCAATGATATACGGTTTGCCATCTTCGAGCCCACCGTACCCTCATGTTTTCTCACTAACATATGAATATTTGTACACCAGTCGATCCAACGGAATCTCTTGATTCAGAAAAGCATATATTTTACTGAGCTATTTTGCTTCCTTGAGGAGATATAGCTATTTTTCTAAAGCCATCTGAATTGGCGCAGAGGCACTCATTCAAATCATTGTATCACTACATATATCCCTACAGATAGAGATTCCTGTGATATTTTCTGAATTCAGTGATATTTCTGTAATATATTCTGGTTTCGGCGATATTTCGGTGGTTCTTTTCGGACTGCCATTTTTTGAGCAATATTGCTCGAAATTCGAATTTCTGTTGTTTTATGAACATTGTTTTGGGCAGAAGTATCGCCATTTTCCACTCATCTATGTATTATATTATTTCTGATGATCACAGTTTGTTTAATTGATCTTTTAAGATTCCAATTCCTTAGAAATTTGAACGTTTTTTGATGGAATTTAAGTTTTCGATAGAATTTTTTCTAATTTTTATGACGCTTTCTAACTTACGATACTGAAAGAAGTTCTGATAGAAGAAGGTACAATTCCGTTTGAAGAACCTTATAATTTCGAGTTCTCAATTCATGATCGATTTTATTCATATCTGTTCTTTTGTATTTTTCCATATCTATTGTTTTCTGGGAGATCTATAGGAATTTGGAGCATTGGGAAATTATTTAACTTTCACCAGTTCTGGAATTTGTGACGTTTGCTAGCATGTTATTTTGGTTGGTAGAATGCGGAGTTGATGTCGACGTTTAAGTCAGAGACTAAAACTGAGTACTGAATTGGTCAATCCTCAATCCCATTAAGAAATGCACTCGACATTTCATCACTGGATGCGTTGTAAATGCATTCTTTACTGATGCCACTGATCAGGACACGATACAGACTTGCGTTTTTAATTTGGTATCACGTCGAATTGCATTACAAGCGCACATCTTCCAGAATGATTCTGTGGGTGATGGAGCTTGTATGGTCTCTTGCAAGGATTTTGATGAAGCGAATTTCATTGATTCTTCATTTACGCAGTTCTCCAATGATATTTCCTGAAATTCAACGAAACTTGAAATGATTTGAAGAGAGCAAGGTTCATGTAGATAGAGATGCTGATCTCTGATCAAAACGTTATCTTTTACTAATATCTCACTAATGATGATCGTCCAAGTCTGAGAGGGTTTCGTTTCTCCCAACGATTTGCTGAAATTCTGTTCAGTTTTCTCTCTCACAGCATCTGTTATTCCCTCACCCGTCATCACCAATTCCAGTGTTATTCATGAACGAGGATGGTTTCTCAAAAAGTTATCAAACAGAATTGTGTTCATCGTTTACATTAGTCGCTTCATCGCTGAAAAATGACCTTCCTAAAAGTATTAGTTCGATAATTCAGTTCAATTAAAACTGTTAGCGGGGTTTTTTTGACAGGAGCAAATATGGAACATTTCACTCCAGCGAGCTCAATTCCATTACCCAACAATTTTGGGGGATGGTAATTTTTGACCGTATTTAAAATTTCGCAAGTGTGAAAAAGGAAGTGAGAAGCAATCTTCTCACTTCCTTTTTCACACTTATCAAAATTTATTATTACACTTATTACACTTATTTATTATTACACTTATCTTCACTTAAAATTATTCACACTTCACACTTATNATAGCACTCTTGAGATAAACGTATGAAGAAATCGTCAATACTTAGAACGTAAAGTTGAAATTTAAAAAGATACGTTCAACTCTGCAGTGATATGTGCAGATGCACCCTGCAAAGTATTCAGCCATTCCACTCTGTCATCAACCAATTCCAATGACTTGTATGCTTTATGTGTTGACATTGAGGCTCGATTGTAGTTTCAACTCGTCATTCCTATCAGTGTTGTCTCCGATTCCTACCTAATCTTCTCCTCCTTCAGCTTCTTCAGTTAGCTTGAAGGGAATCAATGCGGCTAAAATGAATGAAGTATGGTCCGAACTATCCAATGAAACGATATGCAAGATTCCATCGATCAAGATATTACAAACCTAAACGAGCGTTGAAATGACAGCGAAGAAGTTTGTTTTCACAGTTTCATCAGCAGGATGACAACTTTTCTTCTTTCCCGACAAACCAAACGTTTAACATAGCGATTTTAAGAATAATAATCTTCCCAAATCATATGTACGATTGCATATGTAATCTCATGTGTAATCGTCATATGTAATCCCAAAATGTTTCCAGGAAGTTATTGAGGGTTTTTTGATTGCATTCTTCGCATTATTTTCTTCATGCACCCATAGCAGTCAAATTGTGAATTTGTTGCCATTATTTTTGTTGATATTATTTTTTGCAGTGACTTCAACATCTTCTCTAATGATGACCTTCTCAGAGATTCCCTCGATCAACAACGTCAAAGGATCTTACTTAAATTATCACAACGAAGAAGTCAGTAATTTTTGCAATAATCGTAATCGCAAAAAGAAGTCAGCAACATCTGCAATAATTTTAATCGAAATAAGATGCAGCGATGCTGCTCGATAGCTCAACAAAACAATGATTTGAATACACGCAAAGTAGAATGAGATTCGTCACGAACATTGTTCGAATTCGACTAATGTTATAATTTAAGGAAATCACAAACTGCAAGTGAAAATGATACTGCGATCCACATTCGAAATGAATCCTTTAAAAACAAATGCTACTGTCAAGGCTTCTCATTTTGGATCGAAATGTCGAAAGAATGAATGGGACTATCAAATTTTTCATCAATTTCTTTTGCACTATTGGATCGATTGAATGATCGGCGAGAATTTTAAAGAAAATGAAAGGAAATATGTGTGAAAATATAATTATATTCGTAAATACGCTCTTCCTTCAGTCATGTATCACGTTGTCAGGATTAATGAACGATACAAATCACTGATATTTCATCGCATAATTGAGCGAATCAACCGAATGAATACGAAATCCGCGGATCTCACGGGATCGAGGCATTATTTCCGTTCATGTTTTTGTCATGAAGCAAAATTTTCGTCGAAACCCTGAAGGGGCATTAGTTATGATCAAGTTGAACAACTATGAATCCGACGTGATGGAATCCAGTGTGATTCGCTTAATATTAGACGAAAGTACGATATGGAGCGCATAAACGTATGTGAGTGTGTGAACAAGATATGATCAGCAGTACTACATTTATACGCGATCGGTTATTGGCACTCGCTGTGATGGCTTAATTGAATGCTTGCTCGATGGTTTGTTAATTGCTTTTAGTGGAAATTACAATTTCAATTGAGTGTCGCTATGATGTAACACTTTTATTGAATCTTTCAATGTGCTCAAACAGTGTCGCTATGATGTACCGAACAATTTTATTGAATTTTTTAATGTGCTAAAACAGATTGCAATTATTGAATAAATGCCACCCAATCATCAAATTCTTTCATATACGAACGAATCGATTATTGTGAATGTTGTCAAAGGAATGAGGGCTTACTGGAAAATTCCTACCTTGAATCACGCTCTTTTCATAACACCTATATATCCGTTTATATGTCAAATGTGAGTGCATTCGATCACATCCGAGTGTTTTTATAATTCTCGGTTAAATTCATCTCACTGCTGGACATTCAGTTTTCGTATTCATTATATGACGACAACATCTCGTCAGTGTTATGATGATATTTATTACTACCAATAGGAATACGTCGAATCGCAAATTCAGGTCGTCTTCATTCAAGTCAATGAACCAATTCATTATTGGAGCGGTGTAAAAGAAATTAACAGTAAGACAAAAAATTCAACGGAAAAGCGAGCTTAAGCAAATCAGATACTGCTAAGAATCTTTATGCAGTTTTCTCACAATCAGCAATGGCAATATTCAGTGGAATATAGATGAGCAATTTGAATGCAATCAAATGGAAATCTAATGAAGACACACGCAGAACTCGGGAGAAGTGATACTTCGAAACGATTGGTTTAGAATGACTCGAAAACGACTTCTGCGAATTTCGACGGATCTTGATCCTTCATTGGATAGCACGGATGATGACCAAAACTAAAAACAATGATCGATTGCATTGTATCAATAAAATCTTAAATTTTGAATATGGAGATATGATTGAAGTTCAACTGATATGATAACTGTTTATCTCCAACGGCAATTCAACTTCAAAAGAAGAACAAAACTAGTCAAAGATGTTCTCTAAAAGAACGAGACTTACTAGTCAAAGATGAACAGACGTACGCGTCGACTGACTGCATCGAGCTTGATTCTATCCTCGTCATCAAGTTTAAAATCGAATATATTAATATTTTCACGAATATGTTCCGGATTCGTACTCTTCGGTATCACGCAAAAGCCATTCTCCACCAGAAACCGCAGCAGAATCTGGAAACGAATCGTATACTTGACGTCGAAGGGCGCTAAAGAGATTGATATTCTTTAGATTTATCAAAAATCATTTTTCGGACTTTCAATGACAGATATTTTGCTTGTATCATTTGATTAAATCAGACTTCTAATGAACACTGTCAACCGCATGTGCTGTTAAGTAATTTCATGAATATTTAAAATTTATTCAACGTGACTGAACTAAATGATTCACTAAAGTTTCGAGAAAGACAGAGCAACTCATTGCAATGAGCGAAGACAACAGTGAAATAAAAATGAATGTTATCACCTGTGCTGGCGTCTTTTTATGTTTTTCGGCCACAACCTGAACCGTTGGATCCTTCAGCGGTTCACCTTCGGGCCAAAATCCATCTGGCCGAAAATCCTTCCGCCCTGGAGAACCGAGTGGTGCGTAAGCTGTCACCGCTATATTTCGAGATCGGCAGTACTGTCGTAATTCTTTTTGTGGGAAATACAAGTGAGCCTCTATCTGTAAGGTCAGCAAAAGCTGTTCTTTTGGCAAACAAAGACGAATTTTGTAAGACGGTGACAAAGTTTTTCTTTCGAAATACAAAACGAAAACGAAAAACATTAATGCTTGCCATGAATACCACTCAATGTTACGGACAGAGAAAGGATCACAATTAATGTCTCGGGTAACCGTTTCAATCGTGAACATCAAAAAATGAACAATGAGAGGTGATCACAAGGAACAGATAGATATATAAACAGCCATATATTGCGAGGAGATTTGATTATTTTACCTGTAAATTATGCGGTTTTATTTCAGCTTTTTCGTAAATTCTTTCAATTTGCTCTTTGTTAAAATTGGACAGTCCGATCGCCTGTAATATTAACTGGAAATCATTATGATCGATCTACTTACAATTAGCTTTCGAATTGTTTTTATACTCCAATTGAAGGTCTGAACGAGTTCCATTCGTGTTTGAAAATGTCGAATATTAACATGTGGAATATATGCGGAGAAATACTGAATGTTCTTTCAAAGAAAGGATGCCTTATCAATATTTGCATGACTAGTTGTTTACCTTTAGAATGCCTTTCTTGTAGAGAGACTCTAACGCTCGCCACGTCTCCAGATGATCTACATCATCAACCGCAAATCTTCCATTTTCAACCAGCGGTGCAAATTGATCATTCTTCGGCTTAAAACTCCACTCTTAATGATTCAGTTCACTGCAGTGATTACTCATTATACATCTATGTAGCATTCACTATTCGCAAGAAACCATGTGAATATGAGCTAAAATACACGTATTTTTAGATTGACGACGGGAAATCTATTCACGAAAAACTAATTAAAAAAGCATTAACGCATCAAAAGAATAGAAAACGGTAGAAAAGACAAAATGTACTGATTTCCATCAGGATTTCAAAACGACTTTTGTACTACTTCATCTGAGAAGACCAGTCTCCTCCACAGGAGTATATTACGAAAGTAATGCGAATGGATCACGCACCTTTACAGCACATGGACAATGAATCAAATACAAATCAATATAATCGGTTTTAAGCGCTTTGAGTTGTTGTTGAACCACTTTTTCAACATTTGGTGGAGAGTGCGCTGTGAACGGCAGCTGAAGAAAACGACCTTATTCAGCAATTGAAGATGTTTTCGTTGAGTAATATTCATTTGCATTTAAGGCTCGTGAGGAAGGAGGAGAACGAACTGATTTCGAGTTCTATTCATCAGCTTTCGAGCCCTTCAAAATTGCGAAGATCTCTTTCAGCAACGAATTTCATTTACAGCATCAAATACTATGAAAAGTATCTATCTTATGAGCGCATTCAGTGAAGACCTACCTATCCTAATCCTACAACATTACCATAAAAGCGCAATGACTTAACCTTTGTTTCGATGAACAGTTGTTCTCTAGTGATCTTTCCTTGGCTGATCATCGCACTGAGGGCATTGCCAACGCCACGTTCAGTTCCGTAAAGAAATGCCGTATCGAAAAGACGATATCCCGAATCTATCGCTGTTTCAATCGCTTTATACAGTGCATTTTCATCCTTTGACTAAACAAAAAAACTTTTTCCGAAGCCTTCAACTCCAGGAGGAATTTGTGTATGTTAATTGCGTTTAAAGAACGCAAGGACCGAATATCCTAGATTAGTGTTTCCTATAGGGTGTAAACCAGCTCGTTGGGAATAATTTGGAGGTGTCATGGGGAGCAATTGAAGGCATACATAAATTTGTTGATAAATTTCCATTTTTATCGCTGAAGAGTGTTTTTTTTTCATGGCTTTTCGTTTTTGGTTGCCGACGAGTTCCATATTGTTTCTGCAGTGGAAAAAATAAGGTTCTAGAAATACTTATTTCATTCCAGAAAATTAATTTCTTTCATGCCACTGAGAAATTTCCCGACCGGATCCCAATTTGCCTGTGATGTTATGCGTGGAAATAGTAAATTAATGTGGTGGTGGGGTTGAGGGAGAGCGGGTAATGACGGCCTGCCAGACCGTCGAAGAGGTAATCGAGCTTCTAAGCGTGAGAAACACTATTCTCGATTGTATGCAGCTATAAGGCAATTTAGTGACTGATTTGGTTGAAATTCTCTCAGTTTGTTAACGAAAATACATAACAAATTGGTTTGTGTTCAATAACGAATTTGTGTTCAATAACGGAGCTTTGACGTATTTATGAAGTGTAACAAGCGTTACGATTAATAAACAATTAAGTGAAACGTTCTGCTGATTACTTATTAGTTAGGCCATCATTCAAGCTTGCGAAAAATCTCAAATGTATCATTTACCAGCCACGTTCCCAATCCAAGCAATGGTAGCTTCGCACCAGTTGGCAATGTCACACAATCGACGTTCACCATTGAAATTTGTCTGCTCGAGCGTTACAGTCAGAATGGAATGGCTCTGAATAAAGAGAATGTTAAAAGTTGAACGAAGTGGGGTTATTCGTTCTTCGAGACAATGGAAATATTTCTCGTCTCATTGGCTGAAACAAGAAAATGGTTCAGGAAGCTGAACTGATCGGTGGACAACTGTCAAAGTTGTAAATGTTTCGAACGTTTCGCATTTTTATTTGCCTATGAGACCATAGAGTAAGCCTAACTCTAAGCTTTAGACTAATGGTAACCCTCGTACCCTCTGGTTAAACCCAAGGCCCGCTCCTAGAGAGAACCGCAAAACGCAAAACATTCAAACTTATATCGGCATCATGTTTTTTTTTNTTTTTTTTTCTCATAAACGACAACGATAATAAACTGTGAAGCGTTTTCAAATGCAACTTCTCAAAGAATGAGTAATTATACGTTATGATATAACTGAATTTGATAGCAGTGTGGAAATCGAAAGAGTGACCAAAGCAAACATCAATCGATTTTTGCTCTTTACGTCTCAAAAAGGAGAGAACGCAAATGAAAAGGGTCCGATAAGGAGCTGTTGATTGAACCAACGAATGTTATCATTACCAACTTCACCTACTCGTCTCGCACTTTTGCACAGTCAACATGAAAGTGGCAGAGCACAGCATCTGCAGTTTCGCTGATCATTTCCAGTCTAAAGAAATCGTGAGAATCTTACACTTATGAATAAGCAAGAGATTCTCTCGTTGAAAAAGTTATGCGATAAGAGAAAGTACGTTGCTGTTAGATGATGTGAAGTTTTACTTCAGCTTGTTGCACTCTAGTTTAGTCACGTCCTCCAGTTTTTCAGATAGACGCGTTCACGACTGCAGTGCTTCAGCGATAGTAAACACAAGTTTGCTCCACTAGTCAAACTCGAAATTATTCTATCATAAATCAGTTGCAGTTCATTTTTCCATGCCAATCGCGATCGAAGAGGCATCGAGACAGAGCACTCATTGCAAATCAATAGGTAATTTCGGACAATCTTTCTTCTGCGATTTTAGACTACAAAGGTTTTATACTGTTTTCTTCAACCATATGTTCCTGATTCTTTATCTACGTATTTGAAGTTTATCGTTATATGTCCTCAGATCTTTTTCATAATATCGCTTCACATTCACTAAGGAGCACGATATGACGCCATTTGTTAGGTTTCGTTTTCTACAATTACCAGTCACTGTAACGAGATTCAAGTTTGTCTTGAAACTCTCAGTTATTGTAGTGGGATTGGATTGATCGATAAGCGTTCTAATAGAATGATTCACTGACTGAATTGAAACGTTATCAATTGGAGAATTCGATGATGTTAAAGAATTTATTACCGCTTTGTACAGAAGTTTCATAGAGAACATGGAAGCGCATCGCATAATCTCGGCAAACCATTTTAGTTTCAAATAAATTCATAAACATCCACAAACAGTCGTATACGAAACGACCCTATAGACGAAATTTGATCAGATACAACTCGGTGCAATAATCCAATCGTTTAACTACACTTGAACACGAAATTCAATCACGTTTTAACATCAGTAATAATTTGACGTTTTTAAAGAAGTGAACAGACAGAAATGAGAATGCAAAGAAGACAGATTGATTTTGGCAAAATGAAATTGAAAACGTTAAGAATGAATTGCTGATATATCACAGTTCAGTACAAATACTGGAACTGTGTAGTGGGATTTTGAATTGCAAAAATTAACGGAAACCATGGTTTGCAAATAAATTAGTTAAAATTATCATTTTATCGTTTGTGAAATTGATCTGCGATATATCAACTCAACAACACGAACGTTACTTTTCAGATGCATATAGCATTTCCTTATTATTTACAACTGAATCATAGATGAATTCACACACTGAATCATTTTAGTGGAAATTTTAAATTGACCGATACAAATCAATAACAATGTTTCAATAGGTACCGTTTCATTCACAGAAACATCAAATGCGAATCATAAATGTAGCACTGGAAGATTTTTAGAAAATCGACTGGATGAGAAGAATTTCACAATTTTATCAATCGAAGTAAACGCACGCAATCCGTAATTATTATAAAAAGGACATAATGCATGACAAGTGAGTGAATGACTACAATCATAACATCCAAAAATGCTCTATTTTTTACAGAACAATACTCATGATAACATTCGTAAATGTTATCAATAGATTTTTAAGTAGATTTATGTAATTGTTGAAGAGTGAACGATGATGATCAGATTTGCATACACTTCCACTCGAAAACAAATACGAATTCAATGATTCGGTGCCTGAACCATGCCGATCGTCGTAGACTTTAATAGTATAATACATATCGAGAAAAGTAAAAATGAAGAAAATTAAAAATCACCAGAGATCGGGAATATATAATAACAAAATCGGATTAAAAAACGATGCAGTTCTAACAGTCATATTAACCACATTTTCACATCAGTTCGAACATTTAGCTCATTTAGTTATCGCAAATAAAAGTTAATGGAACGAATGTAATTAATATCGTATCGAAAACAAAAATCACAATCCAGAAATGTTGAGATCAAGTGCAGCGGCTGAAAAATGATTTGTTCGAAAGTTTTCCAAATTCTTCAATAATCTATCACAACATCAATAACTGCTGGATTTACGATAAGCAATCGCTATGCATTACTAATGAGAACAAATTAGTGATGATAAAGTGGCAAGATTCAGTTGTTTAAGATTTGCAGTAATAGTTGGACAGATTAATTCCATGATACGCTAAGAATGCTTCGAAATCTGACTTCCTCGAAACTGTCAAATGAATTAACGAAGCCAAAACTGAGTGAATATGGTGATGAATCAATTAATACACTCACCTCTACGAGCATCATTTTTGATGACGTACTGTTGAGAACTATGAATGTTGTTGTTGTTATTGAATGAAGTCATATCCTCAATACTAAGATCTTTACGTTCTTCATCTGTCGTACCTAACGAACTGCCACTTTCCATCATACATCCACTATCAGATGCTAGTGAAGATGTCATTTTATTGGTTGATTCAATGCCGAACTGAATCATTTCTGATGTTTGATTATCAGATGGCGTTGAACCGTTCGCTGCGTTCCCATTTCGATCCATGCCAGCTGCCTGATCCTTTATCATCTCGTTCAAACGTCGTTGAAACCCGTAAGCATGTGGCCGTGTTATCTTCAAATAATGTTTAGTCGGCTTCGGAATTGTCATTCGACTGGCTCCTTATGAATAAATGAGCCAAATAACTTGGATCATGAAAATCATCTTTTGTAAAATAAACTGTCAATAATTTCGAATGTTCTCTTCAAATTTCGTCACCAATTTCAGCTGGGGAATGTTGAGTGCATTACTGAATGGAATTTCGGAGTAATTTCATCAAGTTATCACAATTTACTTTACTGATTTATTCGGACTGCGAATGTTGTCAGGCGTCATATTTTGATGCGTATTATGATGCATCACATGCACAGGAATGTTCAACATGCTCTTTTTATAAGTAATCGTAAATGAAAAAGTTGTTTGGCACGCGCCATCCACGGAAGTGCACGAGCAGCAGCAGCAACACTTTAAGGCACACATAAACAGAACAATGATGAAATGAAATTCTTGTGATAGAATGCATGAAGTTTGTATGTTAGTTGAAAAATAGAAACGAATTCGTATACGTATTCATGTAAACGTAATTATGTACTACTGCATGAAGTAACTGCGAGGTATGCGTAGGATAATCCGAAATGCAGAAAATTTGAAAGTTTTATTCAGCAATGAAAAACCCCTCCTTGGTACGCAACTGTCCGGCAAATGTGTTTTCCATGTAGCAATTGTGTCCATAGGCAAACTATAGCTCTTTCATGAATGGATATGTGTTTGAGAATTAAGGTGAGACATCACGGAAAGAATTCGTTCGAACGTGACGAAATGCAGAATGCGCATTGCACACTGTACTGCGAGCAGCAAATGGAACACGGATTAATGAACACTTATGCCTAACAACCTGTCTCTCATTGTAATTTGCGAATGGTCCAATTAACGACGAATGCATTGTTTCAGGTACTGTTGACGATTTACTCATATTCTGCAAAATACGTTCATCCATCAGCATTTATTAGTTAGTTAACGTCGAATCGGTGAATACCTTGAGTGAGTATAATCACAGAGACGTGCACTAATCAAAAAAGTGGCCCTCTGAACAAATAGCAACGAAAAGTTTTTGGTGCTTTACTGCGCTCGTTTATCGAGAAAATATTTCTGACCAGATGCGCTATTATTGCTCCTTATTGCACACAAACTTAAATTTTCAGAATTTCATTCTTAAGAACCGTATTTTAGGCGTGCGAATGCGGGATGTATTCTTGTGATGCTCATCCAGGTAAATGTATAGACAGAAAAAGCCACAACAAGTCCGCATTGGCAATCAAAGCGATAATCGAGTTTAAAGCGATCGTTGCTTCCTTCAGTGATATGCGATTTATTATATTCCCAAGCACACATAAACATACAACTCAGTGTTAGCATCAAAGCTGAACTTGACAGGATGCATCATTCTGGTTGGAATGCATAGCAACAACGAGATAAGCGCTGAAAACGCAGATGCTGAAAGTTGAAAAGCTGGAAAAGAATGTTAGGGATGAACACGAATTGTTGATGGAAAAGTGAAAGCTTACGTCAATTAGTCGCCCACTGCAGTGTTGTTCCTCATCAATGCCGGACAATTTTGTGGATTCCGCAACTGGGCTCACCAGGCTTGTCACTGAAGATAAAATATTACTTGAACATAAAATCACCGTTTTGCTTTACACAGACCATTTGGTTGTTGAGGAAGTTGCCCATTAAACAGCTCGAGGAGGAGAATAAACGGAAGGTTTGTTGAAATGGCGAAGCAAAATTTCGAGAAAAAATACCACATCTGGCGTTCGAAAGCGAGCGATATTTTTGATCCAAAAAGGTTTTTGAACAAGATTTTCAGCTCAGAAAGGTGGAAAATTTGATGGGCAAATTCCAGCACACCACTAGTTGGACAGCACACTTGTGTGAACGTTGAATGAAAAATAATAAAAACAACGGAAGGAGACGACGTTACAACGTTTCGCATTTTCGAAATTTGGAAATTTCAGCCGAACTTTCAGTGAAAAACTGCTCATTTTTACGACATTTTCATAAGCAAAACTTTCATTGCGATGAGATATTAGAATGAAAGAAAGAAATGAAATATATTGCAGCTATCAAACTAGCGATAGCAGAGCGAAGAAGCGGAAAAATGAAACAGATGACAAAAAGGTAACGGAATGTAAAACGAACAACAATTATAATAATACTACGATAATCATAATCATACCAACAACGAACAACACATTACATTTTCACAATTCACCCACAAACATGCATTACCTCTATTTTGCTCAACTATCGTCAATGTTCTCATACTACTACCCAAAACTAATCTACGATCAAATTGCTCTTCCAGTTGTTCATCACCAATGGTTCTTGCACTCATTATCAATTTCTTGACTGAATGCATGCGGACAATTTAATCGGATCTCATATCAAATCTTCCTTCTAACATGCAATCATTTTGCAAAGATTCATTCGAAATCTTCAATCACTTCAATCTTTCATTAACATGCACTTCAGGAGATCCTTCAACTACGTTCCTCAGAATCACACTTCATTTACTCTCATGCTCGAATCAAATTACATTCACACAAAATCCTCCACTGGATTTGATCTTTTCGATAAATTTAAGACTCGATTCAGTTATATCGGTGAAAATAGTTGTCTGATCGAAAAACGATATGTTTAAGTCGTAAACGGAAAATAAAAAAACTGTCATCAGCATGGAAAAACAATCAGTCAATCGATTACTTTATAAGCTTCAATATAGATTCTTCGGTAGGTACACAAGATTTACTGAGATAAATCAAGCTCTGAAAGCCTTCTACCAATAGAAGTTCACAAAACCACATCGATTAGGGTAACTGACCGCTCAAACTACGGCGGACTATGAAAATATCTTGACTCTCTATCGAACTGAGATTCTTTCTGCCTTATTAGTTTCTTAACAATTAGAATGCTGCGAATTTCAAAGACTTTAAGCTAGCACTAAGTATGTGTGCTTGTTGTACCTCATTTCATGAAATTCCATGGTCTACACCGTCAACTACTACTCGTAATGCAACCAAATAACGCTGCATTGCAGCGTGATGAAAACAAATAAACGACAAGCAACTATGCACAATGTAAAAACAATAAGAATAATGTCTAAAAACCAAGAACAACATCAACGAGAGATGATCTCAGTACACACATACGTTTGCCAGTATACAACGGCTTCAGATTTAGGAAGGTTGGACGAGCTGAAATTAAATAAACATCCTCATTGTTGTTACATTTCTTGTTCACCTCCAAATTGCAGGTGCACTAAATCGCTTCGAACTATTGCATGCGAATACAACCGCAGCAATTCGCTGCTAACTGTAAATAAGCGGATCCGAAATCATTCATTCATTCGGCCCAAATCTGTGTGATCATCGTTAAGGTTTCACCCACATTCGCCGTACGTAAAACTAGCAATTGACTGATGGATTTGGAATATTCATTTGATATTTGCTAAAATCACGTTAGCCAATTGCCATCGACGTGACATGAATTCGTCCTCCCTTGTGAGCTAATAAAAATCAAGAACATATTGTTTGAAACAAAGAGAGAGTTATCGTATACAATTGGGATTTTATTTTCCCGGATGTTTCGTGCTCATCTAAACGACTGTAATTTGTGATAAAGTTGAGAAACAGTGATAAATGGAAGCAGTTTGCCTCATCTTAGCACCTCGGTGACGATTGAGTTATTGAATTCCGCATAACAACACAGCTAACTGCATTAAGTATAAATTAATCAAAACTCATTTTTCATAAATCGATTTCGTAAATTCAATCAAACTCGAAAATCTGAACGCAGCACTCTTGAGTGAAAAAGAAAAAACCAGCAATAAACACTACCACGAAAATTTGCAGAAATAAAAAGATTGGCAAAGAGCGAAAGGCGTATTGCACATAGCATTGTCATCAGATGAATAATAATCACACTAAACAGCTCTGCACGCGCATTCGATCAACTTCATTTCATTTCAATTACAACACTCAACACATTCTCAACATAACAGGTAGTGTGATACGATCAACGATTTGATGCCACTTTTTGTGCATTTCTCGATGAACTTTCACTTATCGTTTTTACGCTTTTTTGCATAAAAATTTGTTACTAGCACGAATAATATTTTGCTGCAAGTTGAACCAACTTATAGTTAATAGTGTGACCGCAACCCATTGAAAACCCTTCTCGTCTAATGAAACAACTTCAGTGTGGATGCCATTTTTAATGTTATCGACAGTTAATTCTCTCTAGGTGATCAACAAACTAAAAACATGTTCATGAACTTGAATCTACGAAATATCCCATTCGCATCAGAAAGAAACAGCAAATTCGTAGAGTTCGAGCAGAACAATGAAAGGAAAACGCAGATAATCAAGAAATGGGTAAAGAGACAGTTGGCTACGGTTTTATGTAGTTGCTGAAATACAGTTTTTCGATCTATAAATTGATTAAAGAATAGAGGTGGACTTCACTTCTGTGAAGGAATGCGTTCAAATTACAAATGTATAGTGAACGAAAGAGGAAAGTTATGAGAAATGTAGGTATACTGAATGAAACGGAGTAATGTTCTCTTATCGGAAGTGATCTAGTCAATTTAAGTCATGAAGAACGCATATTTCTTGTGATGTGCATCACTGAAGAAAAATAAACATTGTGAGATAGAAATAGGATGAAGATTATGAATGAAATGAAGGGAGATTTAATGAAGTAATGCGGAAAACGCTTCCAAATCACAAAATTTTCACTAACCCATCGATGATGCACCTGAAGAAGACGTTGACATTTCCATGGAACGACGTCCATCTGTGGTTGGATCAGTACCGTTACTTGTGGTTGCAAGTGAACGATAAATGTTTGCCATGAACGGCTGCAATTCGACAATTTTGGTGAATCGAATTAAACGGAAACTTGAGAGCAACTTCAAACTTCACTAATTCGAAGAGCATTGTAGTGGACACTTTATATGTGTTTAAATGATGATATTGACATAATATCTTTAGGTACTAATGAACATTCAACGCAGTTACTCAGTCCGAACTAGAGTTTGCAAAATCCCGACGATTTTTCAATCCCGGGATCGATTTTTGATCCCGGGATCGAACAATTATTGAAATATCGATGAGGGACATGTTTAAACACATTTTTTGAACAAATATGTTCATTATTAATCAGAAAGGAGCTAATTCAACAAATTATTGAACAAATCCAAGGAACTGAGAATTC